ACTAGGTTTACAAGGGATAAAAACAAAAGGCATAAGCATAATATATATATATATATGCACACCCACACCTATGTATATTTTTAGGACTAAATATCTCTTCAGTTTAATCCGACCCAAATGATCAGAATTTATGTATCTTTAATTAGGAATTTATAAAATTCACTTTAGTTTAATTATTTTATAGTACTACCTCAACAATCTTTACCAAGTTTTACTTTTGCCAAGAAGCGTGACAGGACAATTCAAATATTGATGCATGGAAAGATACCATCATTTATAATTATTTGAATGCAGTACATAATAATTACCTTAAAACTTATATATAAAATGAAAAATATTTAAAGTAGAAGAAACGTGAAATGAATGTAATCAAGTGGCTACCACAAACTTTAACATGGCAATAAATCTTTTTAAAATTACCAAAAAATTGGTAAAAATAATCTACAACAAAGTAAAAAGTTTGAAAGAATAAAATAACATTTACTATTACATATAATAAGGTATGAATAAATTAGTTATTTGACTGAAAATACAACCATATCATTTTATCATCCAAACATAAAAAAAAAATTTGTCATTCTCATCCTATGTCATTATCATTCAATTACTGTTATTGTCATACATTAATTACTTGTAACGGTCCCGAAATTCTAAAGAAAATAAATCATAAAATTAAGTGCATAAACGAAATAATTAGTTAGTGTAGCACCCGGAAAGGAGGAGGAAAAAAAAAAAAAAAGGGTCACGTCAGCAGCCACGTCAGCAGGCTCGGTCAGCAGTCCCGGCCAACCGGGGCCTGCCACGTGGCAAGACCACGTCACTCCGAAGGGTAGCCACGTTGGCGATCCGCGTGGGTGAAATCCGACGGCCCAGATCAATCGCACGATCGGACGGCCCAGATACAATCGCACGGACGGCCCAGATTCAATAAAAAACGAACAGCTCAGATTAAAACAAAATGGACGGCTGAGATCAAAAGGCAAGGGGTTATAAATAGAACCCCCACACCAGACCACAAACCCTAGCTGCCTGCCGCTCGCCGGAGAAGACGAACCAGAGGCCGACCGCCGCCACCCGCCGCCGCACCGGGGAAATTTCCGACCGCCGATCGAGGTAAATTTCATACCCCCGACTCGTTTTTCCACGCTGATTCCTCCTATGGCCAAATCGAAGCCGAAATCCCGGCCAAACGGCCGGAATACGCGGCCGAAGACCAGCGGCGCCGCCGCGCCCCCTCTCGGTTTTTGCCTCCGACGAGGCCCTTCCCGGCCTCCGTTCGATGCAATTTTTATATCACCGTGATCACAATTCTTTTCTCTACAGGTTAACCGGAGCCGAATCACCAAAACACGAACCTCGCCGGAGAGCCGCCGCACCCGAGAGCGCCGCCGCCGGTAAGCTCCGTTTTTCCGTGATTTTTTGGCCCCCCGAGGGCCCTAGGGTTGTTTTCTCACAAGGACCGATGCGAGTGTGGCCGAATTCGGCCGAAAACGGCCGAAAACAGCCAACCTGAGGCGACTCGCCGCCGCCAGCGGCGGCGCCGTCGCCGGAGCACGGCGAAGCCGCCGTGCCGGAGTTGCGATTTGGGCCGAAAGAGGCCCTGGGCCTAATTTGGGTTTTTTTTTGGAACACGTGCAGGTACTGTTAGTGTGTTTCAGTTCTCCGGGAAAAATTCAGGGAAAATTAAGGACAGCCTGTAAGCGCACTGTGAAGCCGTGTTGGGACCCTGAAACGAGTAAGGACCCCTCACCCTATTTCCTATCACGGTATTAAAGTTCAAAATGATAAAACGGTATTTCTTGAATTAACGAATGTGTGAAATTGCTTAAGGTGGCTAATGGAGCCCGAGTCTAGTGTGATTGGTGATTTACTGTTATTTGGCCTGTTTACAGCTTTAAATGCAAAATGAGGTTTGATGTGTTCATTTTACAGATTTGTGTGCATATACTACGTTTTTTATTAATTATGGGTTGAATGACTGAAAAACTGATACTGTATGTTGTCTGTTTGGCATGAATTACGATTTGCTTGTTTAAATGTGAATTGATGATGCTGACTGAGGAAAAGGAAAATGAAAGATTGTGTAGACTGATAATTGTATTATGGGGGTCAGCCTGACTAGATATCCTGGGAGATGGTGGACGGATCGGGTCCGTAGGGAACCTTACCGGGATTGTGGTATCACATGTCGGACGGGGTATGGAGATCTTATGGTTTTGGAGCCCATACCGGACGGGGTATGGGGACGGCCCGTTTCACCCTCATACCGGACGGGGTATTGAAGTTTATGGTTTTGGCGCCCATACCGGACGGGGTATGGGGACGGCCCGTTTCACCCTAATACCGGACGGGGTATTGAGGTTCATGGTTTTGGCGCCCATACCGGACGGGGTATGGGGACGGCCCTGGAAACTGATTATGAATGTTAAAGGTTAACGGGTAGCGGAACCCCTATGGACCCCCACGGGATACTAGTAGGCTGGTAAATGAGAAAAAGATATGTTGTACAATGATTGAATTACAAGAGGCGTGATAAGTGTTATGTTTTACAGCTTATATTATTCAATGATTATGATAATGTTATTGTTTTTCTTATATTGTTTTCATAAATTCCACCGAGGTAAGTGGATGGTAAAGGTTTTCATGTTAATAAACGAGTTTGTTGTAAATTATGCTCCATTGGTTTTTTTGTGTTTTTCGACCCACCTTTACCTCCGTGACGGTGAGATATCGTGATGTTCTTACTGGGCTAGTGTAGCTCACTCATTATTTAACCATTTCAAATCAGGAAGACATGGTTCCCGAGCCCGTTCCGCAGGAGGACGACGAAGGGGATGCCTAGAGACTCTGTAGTCATACTCATAGTTTTATTTTCGAGTTTCTCTCTTAGTTAGTTTAATCTTTTATATTTTAAGTACGTTTTTGATTTTTCGTGTAAGGGATGTTAACTGAAATTTTGATCTCGCTTCCGCATTTGATATATTTAAAATACTCATTTCATTTTAATATTTCTGGGGCCGTTACAGTTGGTATCAGAGCCGCATTTCCTCGGACCCATCCCTTACACTATAGTCCTTTAAAGAAATACTCACCGATTGTTCGTTACTCAACCATTCCTTGTAAATGCAGGTACACAGAAATGAGGAGAGGAAGGCCCCCACTAAACCGAGCGGCCCAAGATAATTCGCTTCGGGAGGATTTGGACAGATTATATGAGATGGTGGAAGCTCTCGTAGCTGCCCAGCGAAGGCAAGAGGAGAGAAGGGAGTTACCCGGACCTCCTCCGCTAGCGCAGGTTGAGCCCCCGCTACAGCAGGCTGATCCCGAGCCACCCCGGCAGGAGCCTGTTCCTCCACAGTACCACCCGGCACCACAGCCGCGGTACGACCCGGTACCACAGCCACAGTACCAACAGGTGCCGCCACAGCACATTCCAGTGCCCCCACCACATCAGCAGGCGCCACCACAGGGTCCCCCAGTTCACCCTCAGCCGGTCCTAGTCCCTCTACCTCGGGACCCCGCTCCTTCCTTGATCGATCCCGGCTTCATAGAGAGGTACAGGAGACTGAACCCTTCTACTTTTGCAGGGGGATCCTCTTTTGAAGAGGCCCAATATTGGCTGGCAGAGACTGAGAGAGCCTTCGAGACCTTGGGAGTAGTTCCTGAGTAGAGGGCTGCCATTGCCTCCTACATGCTGGTAGGGGAAGCAGTACGCTGGTGGGAGCTCAAGCGGGCCACCCTGCCTACACCAGTTACTTGGGAGCAGTTCCTAGCAGCCTTCCATGCGGAATATCTCCCTAAACACATCCAACATCTAAAGGAAATGGAGTTTGCTCAATTGGTCCAGGGAAATATGACAGTGTCAGACTATGCTCGTAAGTTCCTGGAGCTGGGCCGACATGCCCCGGAGACATTGATGGATGAGGGCCGAAAGGCCAGAAAATTCCAGTGGGGTCTCCGCCTGGAGATCAGACAGCACTTACTCGTGATGGAGCTCGAGACGTATTCGGCAGTCTTGGCTAAGGCGCAGATCATAGAAAGGAGCTTTGATACCCGCCCTCAGGTAGCGGGAAGTTCCCGACTCTCAGCCCCGCTCCGCAGGCCAGCACCTATCATGCCTGTCCAACCCAGTAAGAGGCCCAGACCTGCCGT